TGGCCACTGTGTGAGACAGGGTGCTGGACTAGGTGGACCCTCACTGGTCTGATCCAGCAGGGCTCCTCTGACGTTCTTATGAAGGCCTCACCCTCTCTGCCCTGTTGTTGGCCCTCCAGAGGAACTGGTTGGCCACAGTGTGAGACAGGAGGCTGGACTAGATGGACCCTCACTGGTCTGATCCAGCAGGGCTCTTCTGAGGTTCTTCTCAGGGGAAGGCCTCTGCCTCTATGCGCTGTTGTTGTCCCTACAGAGAAACTGGCTGGCCACTGTGTGAGACAGGATGCTAGACTAGGTGGACCCTCACTGCTCTGATCCAGCAGGGCTCTTCTGATGTCCTTATCAGGGAAAGGCCTCTGGCTCTATGCCCTGTTGTTGTCCCTCCAGAGGAACTGGTTGGCCACAGTGTGAGGCAGGATGCTGGACTAGATGGACCCTCACTGGTCTGATCCAGCAGGGCTCTTCTGAGGTTCCTATCAGGGGAAGGCCTCAACCTCTTTGCCCTGTTGTTGGCTGTCCAAAGGAACTGGCTGGCCACTGTGTGAGACGGGATGCTGGACTAGATGGACCATTGGCCTGACCCAGCAGGGCTCTTCTGATGTTCTTCTCAGGGGAAGCCCTCGGCCTCTCTGTCCTATTGTTGGCCCTCCACAGCAACTGATTGGCCACTGTGTGAGACAGGATGTTGGACTAATATGGATCACTGGTCTGATCCAGCAGCCCTTTTCTTATGTTCTTATTATTTTAGAGTGAACAAAGAGAAGCCGTTCCAGATAATCTATGATTAATAACAATGGCATTTTATAAAACTGGAGCTCCAAAGGGTCCATGAAGCAGGCTGTGGCTGATTCCCCAAGCTGTGTCAAGGAGCATGCTAGAGAACATATTTAGGACTGCAGCCGACAGATTTAGTTTTAATTTATTGGCAGTCCTCACTGGAGTTTTTACATTGTGACTTTTCATGTGGTTTACCATTGTCCAGGGCTATTTTTGGGCAGGAACGCACAGGAACGGAGTTCCGGCTGGCTCCCAAGTTGGCCACACTCAGCAGGACATTTTTTTTTTAGCATAATAGGCCACACCCAACAGCAGAAACTCATTAGGATTGGCTACATTAGGGGTGTGTGGCCTAACATGCAAACAAAAAAAGCCCTAGGTTTTGACAACAAACAAGGTAAACAGAATAAGAAGGGAAAGGTGGGTGTGGCTGGATGACCACACTTCTGGTAACATGGGAATGCGGCCTAATATGCTAAGGAGTGGTGCAGTCAGGGGTGTGGCCTAATATGCTAATGGTTTCTGCTGCTGGGTGTGGCCTATTATGCTAATGAGTTCCTGCTGGACCTTTTCTATAAAAAAAGCCCTGCCATTGTTGTTTTATGTGGTTTTTATTTTGTTGTATTTACATCATAAGCCGCCAGGAGTTGCTCAAGCGAGAAAGGCGGCTAATAAAGTTTTAAAATGAATAAATAAAATAAAATAAAGGCGAGAGCTGGCATGGTGTAGATAGAAGAATGCTGGACTAGGATGCTGGTTCCATTTATCTGCTCTACTCTGAGGCTCAGTGTGTGAACTTGGGCCAGTCGCTTTTTCTCAGCTGAACTTTCCTCACAGCGTGGTCATGAGCAGTGCTTCCTCTAAGCTGTGCACATGAGTGGCCGCTCATTAACACAGGAAGCCCCGCTCAGCAGCAATCTGGAGCCACGCAGGATGAGCACATACTCGAAGGGCTGTCATCTAGAGGATGGAGCGAAGTTGTTTTCTGTTGACCCAGGCGGTCGGACCAGAACCAACGGGTATAAATTAAATCAGAAGAGTTTTCGGCTAAGCATTAGGAAGAACTTCCTGGCAGTCAGAGCGGTTCCTCAGTGGGACACGCTTCCTCGGGAGGTGGTGGGCTCTCCTTCTTTGGAGGTTTTCAAACAGAGGCTCGATGGCCATCTGACAGCAATGTTGATTCTGTGATTTGGGAAAAACTATACAAACTGAAGAATGGCAAAAAATATGGAAAACAATGAAATTAATGAGAGCGGTAACATTTAAAGAAAATATACTTAAGATGTTTCATAGATGGTACTGGACTCCTGAGAAGATAGCAAAAGCATATAAAACTTCAAATAAAAACTGTTGGAGGTGTAAAACCAATGTAGGTACTTTTCTCCACATGTGGTGGAACTGCGAAAAATTGCTAGTTTTTGGAAAACTGTAAGGAAGATTATAGCAGAAGTGTTACATTTTAATTTAAAATTATGTCCGGAGATATTTCTGTTAAACATAATTCCCAATGAACATAAAGGGAATGAATTGTATGTATTAATATATATGCTCACTGCGGCTAGAATTCTAATAGTTAAATATTGGAAGCAAGAAAAGATTCCAAAGAGAAAGGAACTAGCTATGAAACTATTGGAAGTCGCAGAAATGGACAAATTATCAGTAATTTTACAAGGGAAAGATGATAAGGTATTTCAAGAAAGATGGGCAGAAATATATAAATGGATAAAGGAAAAAAACTGAATATGACTCCTTCAGATTATGTGAACAGAAATACTAATGTATGTATTGTATACTTTGTAAAATATAAATTAATTTTTTTTTTTTTAAAGGAAGCAATTTTTCTCCAGGCCAGTTTGGCTGGAGATCCTAGGCTTTTTTGCCATCTTCTGGGCGTGGAACAGGGGTCACTGGGGTGTGTGTAGGGGGGAGGTATTTGTGAATTTCCTGCATTGTGCAGGGGGTTGGACTAGATGACCCTGGAGGTCCCTTCCATGATTCTATGATTCTCTGAGGGTCTTGTACTGCCCGTTGCCACACATGAAGCTCCACCCCCCAATCTCCAGGAATTTCCCAACCTGGACTTGGTAGCCCTTGCATTAATGTACTGTTTTCCCCCTCTGCTCCTACAGCTCTTTGGCACGGGCTCCGTTGCCCAGGTGGTGCTGGGAAAGCAAATGTATGGAACGTTCTTGAGCATCAACCTGGGGTATGGATTCGGGGTCATGATGGGCATCCATGCGGCTGGTGGCATCTCAGGTGAGTGTGGTATGGGTCATCCGGGACTTCCCCGGGAAGACCACATTTGCAGTTGCAGAATGAAGGTTCTGGGGACTCTCTGGGAAAGTGATTTGCCAAAGCCTACGGAGGGAACACTCGCTCTCGGCGGAGGGGGCCGGGATTACTGACCATCCATAGCAAAGTACAATTTCCAGGATCCCCCCCACACACAAACCTGTCTTTGCTTTAGGAATGCCAACCTACAGGTGTGGCCTGGAGATTTAGAATCACAACAGATCTCCAGAGATCCATTCCCCTGGAAAAAATGGCTGCTTTGGATGGGGACTCTATGGCATTGTACCCCACTGAAGTCCCTCCCCTCCCCAAACCCCGCTATCCCCAGGCTCCAACCCCCAAATCTCCAGGTATTTCCCACTGCTCAGCTGACAACCCTACTTTCCTCTGTTTTTGTTTGCATTTTCTAGCAAAAAAATATGGTGAAGCAGGGGAGGGGGTGCCCGCTACGTAGCTATTCTTATTCACCATTCTCTTTCTTTGATTCCCCTTCTTTTTGTTGTCCCCCCTACAAAGGTGCTCACATGAACGCAGCGGTAACCTTTGCAAACTGTGCGATTGGAAACCTCCCCTGGTGCAAGCTTCCAGCATACGTAATCGGCCAGTTCCTGGGATCGTTCATTGCATCTGCTAGTGTTTTCTTAATGTACTATGGTACGTTGCTTCCCCCTCCCCCGCCCGTGCAGCCCAAGATGTAGCTGGAGAGAAGAATAAACTTCAGTGAGTTTGATCGTTTCCGCACTTGGATCTCATCCTGGGTTTTATCAGAGTGCAACTCGGGACACAATATCTTGCATTTATCCCTGGTTATAACAGCATCCGTTTATCCCAGGACAAGTGTGGGGCAAAACCAAGGTGACCTCAATGTAATGTGGAAAGAAAAAATACCCTGAGATAATTACAGGGATGAACCCGCATGTAGTGTAGAATATAAAAGTACCCCGAGATAATTACAGGGGTGAACTCGCGTGTAGTGTAGAATGTAGAAATACCCCGAGATAATTACAGGGGTGAACTTGTGTGTAGTGTAGAATGTAAAAATACCCCGAGATAATTACAGGGGTGAACTTGTGTGTAGTGTAGAATGTAAAAATACCCCGAGATAATTACAAGGGTGAACTTGCGTGTAGTATAAAATGTAAATTTGGGGACAGGGTTGTACCAGGATTTAAGGTCTAGTGCGGAAAAGACCAATACCTTGCATTTATCCCTGCAGCAAAACAGCATCCATTTATCCCAGGAAAAGTGTGGTGTGAAACCGGGGTGACCTCAATGTAATGTGGAATCAAAAAATACCCCGAGATAATAATGGGGTGAACTCGCGTGCAGTGTAGAATGTAAGTTCGAGGACAGGGTTGAACCGGGATTTAGGGTCTAGTGTAGAATCATCCTAGAATCTAAATGACTTAAGCTGAGGCTATCATACTTTGGTCATGTCAGAAGACAAGACTCACTGGAGAACACAATAATGCCAGGGAAAGTTGAAGTCAGTATGAGGACACGGGGCCTGGAGATATCTTGGAATTACAACTGATCTCCAGACTAGAAGAATATTGGATTCATATCCCGCCCTTCACTCAGAGCGGCTTACAGACTCCTTTCCCTTCCCCTCCCCACAACAGACACCCTGTGAGGGAGGTGGGGCTGAGAGAGCTCTTTCAGGAACTGCTCTTTTTCAAGGACAGCTCTTATCAGAATTATGACTCGCCCAAGGTCATCCAGCCAGGTGCAAGTGGAGGAGTGGGGAATCAAACCCGGTTCTCCCAGTTCAGAGTCCACGCACTTAACCACTACACCAAACTACCAGGATCCATTCCCCTGGAGGAAATGGCTGCTTTGGAGGGTTAACTTTATGGCATCACATTCCTACTGAGCTCACTCCCTTCTGCTGAACGCTATCTTCCCCAGGCTCCACTCCCCAAATCTCCAGGAATTCCCAACGTGGAATTGGCAACCCTAGTAGGAAAAGAGGAAGACCCAACAGGTGATGGATTGACTCCATCAAGGAAGCCATGGACCTTCCGTTTCCATGAGCTGAGCAAGGCACATGAGGAGAGGACAATATGGAGGTCATTAATCCGTAGGGTCACCCTAAGTTGTAAATTTCTTAATGGCTTCACTACTCACACAGGGTGGCCACAAGAAACATCAGCCTCTGGGATTGAAGGAAGTGTCCCCTTGAAGACTTTTTTTGTTAACTCTTAGAGCTTCTTGAACAACCTTTCCCTTGTAAAAGGCTGAGTTTGCTTGTTTTCCTCCCCGTTCTAGACGCTCTGCAGGATTACACCGGAGGAAACCTGACTGTTATAGGGCCGACTGCTACAGCTGGGATCTTCGCCACATACCCGGCTCCATACATGTCTGTGTGGAGAGGGTTCATCCAAGAGGTCAGTGTGGTCAAAGATTGCCTGCCGGGCCCCTTCTAACTGGAGAGCTTGAAGGAGCGAAGAAGGAGAAGGAGAAGAGATTGGATTTATACTCCCCCTTCACTTGGAGTCTCAGAGCGGCTTACAAACTCTCTTTCCCGTCCCCTCCCCACAACAGACACCCTGTGAGGTGGGTGGGGCTGAGAGAGCTCTGACACAAACTGCTCTTTTGGGAACAGCTGTGCCAGAGCTTGTGATTGACCCAAGGTCACATCAGCAGGTGCAAGTGGAGGAGTGGGGAATCAAACCCGGCTCTCCCAGATTAGAGTCCGCACACTTCACCATCACCACTACACCAAACTGGGAGGGAAATAATTGAGGTCGACTCTATGAGGCTGCAATCATACGCACAATTTGACACAGGCGCGAATGCGGGGCGGATTTAAAGGGCGTGATCAGACAACAGCATCTGGGAAGCGCCCCGCAGACGTCAGCAACCTGTTCTGCTTCGCCGCAGAACCGGAGTTTAAAGATACCGGAGAAAATCCGGTAGAAAACGGGTTGCTACGGGCCAGGGACAGACTTTCCCGTGTTTGACCTCTTCAGCGCGCTCTCATGCTTTCGGGATGGTCTGATCAGGCCATCCCGACTCCATGCTGTTGTTTTTTCCCCCTTCGCAGTATGCGCATCATTGCAAACTCCATAGGGAGCCCTCAGTGCGGAGGTGTTTTGATTCTTTGTATAACTGCATGGGGGGGAAAAACCACACACAAAAAATGACTCACCTGCAGTTGCGTCTGATCACACACTGACGGACTGCGGCCACAGCTTCGAAGGGAGGTGTGATAGTGCAACTGCGGATCAAATTCTTCTGGAGGAAATAGCCTCATTTCCCCCCCATTTTATCTGGCCCGTGTGACCGCATCCTTAATGAGGCTTTCTCCAGGCTGTCTGGACAGCCGTTGTCCGTAACCTGAAGTTCCACACGGCCTTGAGGACTAGAGATTTGTTGAGGGGGGGGGGTTTTGGCTTTAAATAATACTGAAAATTTATCGGGATACTGAATTCTGCTTTGGATGCCAAGAGAAAGACGAGTGTGGCACTGTTGGTGGAAAAAGTGCAGAAAAGGGCAACTCGAATGATAAAAGGGTTGGAACACTTTCCCTATGAGGAAAGGTTAAGGTGCTTAGGGCTCTTTAGCTTGGAGAAAAGATGACTGAGGGGTGACATGATTGAGGTTTATAAGATTATGCATGGGAAAGAGCAGGTAGAGAAAGAGGTACTTTTCTCCCTTTCTCACAAGACAAGAACTCGTGGGCACTCCATGAAATTGCTGAGCGGTTGGGTTAGAACGGATAAGAGGAAGTCCTTCTTCACCCAAAGAGTGGAATTCACTGCCACAGGAAGTGGTGGCGGCTACAAGCATGGACGGCTTCAAAAGGGAATTAGAGAAGCATATGGAGCAGAGGTCCATCAGTGGCTATTAGCCACAAGGTATAGATAGGGGCTCTGGGGCAAGTGATGCCCTGTCTTCTTGGTGCTTGGGGGGGGCAACAGGGGGGGGTCTTCTGGTGTCCTGGCCCCACTTCTGGACCTCCTGATGGCACCTGGTATTTCTGGCCACTGTGTGACAGAGTGTTGGACTGGATGGGCCTTTGGCCTGATCCAACATTGGCGTCTCTTATGTTCTTAAAGCGTGCTGGGAAAGGAGGGCTAGAGGTCTGGCGAATCGTTGTAGGTTTGAAAAATGGTTCGCCAACCTCTGGGTGATCTCCGCCTGATTTCCAGGTTAAGGGGAAATAGTTTGTAAGCCACTCTGAGACTTTGAATGAAGGGCGGGGTATAAATCCAACTGTTCTTGAGAGCCAGTTTGGTGTAGTTGTTAGGAGCGCGGACTCTAAACCGGGAGAACCAAGTTTGATTCCCCACTCCTCCAGATGCAGCTGCTGGTGTGACCTTGGGTCAGTCACAAGTTCTCTCAGAGGTGTTCTCTTAAGAGCAGTCCTCGAGAGAGATCTCTCAGCTCCACCTCCCTCCCAGGGTGTCTGTTGTGGGGAGGGAAAGGGAAAGGAGTTTGTAAGCTGCTCTGAGACACTTTCGGGTAGCAAAGGGCAGGGTATAAATCCAATCTCTTCTTCTTTTTCTCTTCTGATGTTATTTGAGTTGACAGTGCTGGCTTTTGTTCTCTCTCTCTCTTCTCTTTCCCGGGGCATTAAAAAAATCACTCCTCTTGTTCCCCTTCACTCGGGGCTTCTTTCGTGTGTGGCTTTGTCTCTACCAAGTCTCTGGTTGTTCCCACCACCTTGTGTCAGGATTCCAACGATGACCACAGGCTAATAATGGTTGGGGGACCCCTGATTAAACCCCATACCATTTTGGGGGTGCATTGAGACATGGGAACGTAGTTTTGGGGGGGCTCAGTAGGCTGAAGTGGAGGAAGAGGGAAAGTTCTGCTAATTCCTCTGCTCATGGATCTCGTAGGACATACATGAGGGTTGCCAACGTTCAGGTGGTGGCTGGAGATCTTCCACTATTACAACATAAGAACGTAAGGGAAGCCGTGTTGGATGAGGCCAATGGCCCATCCAGTTCAACACTCTGTGTCACAGAGAGGCCAAAAATATCAGGTACAAGCTCTCCCTCCTCTGCTAGGACAGATCTGCCTGTCCATCCCCCCCCCCCATAGCTAGCAATCCAAAACAGTCCAATGGAGCCTAAGTGGGTGGGTGTTGCCTTCTGACACACTTCTGGTGATGTCAGGGGGTGTGGCATATGCAAATAAGTTATGCTAATACATTATGCTAATGAGCTCCTGCACCTCTTATTCTACAAAATGACCCGGGAGTTTTAGTCTGTTCTTGTGGCCACCACTACTTCCTGCAGCAGTGAATTCCAAAGAATTACTCCTTGGGTGAAGAAGGACTTCCTTTGATCTGTTCTAAGCCTACTCCTCCTTAATTTCATGGCGTGCCCACGAGTTCTTGCATTCTGAAAAAGGGAGAAAAGTACTTTTCCCTACCTCCTCTATCCCATGCGACAGGTATCAGTTCGCCCGGAGAAAGTGGCCGCTTTGGAAGGCAGACTCCACGGCATTATCCCCTCCCCTCCCCAAACCACGTCTTCCTCAGGCCCCGCCCCCAAAATCTCCAGGTATTTCCCAACACGAGATCTGGCCAACCCGAAAGCACGCTGATGTCTGTATCTCAGCTTCCAAGTCTGACAAGAGGGATCCCTGAAACTGGATGGGACTTTACGGAGAAAAATGATACCAGCCAAGACAGAGGCTCAAGGTTACATGTCTGAGCCTTGGGAGATAACAAAGCAAAGCAGGCAAAAGCAAAAGTACACATTCCAATCACCCCCACAGCATCCCATGGCAACCAAGCCTGATAAAGCCGGCGGGTTGACAGGAACAGCACGGGTTGCCAACAACTGTGCCACAGGAGGCAGGTGTTCTCATCTGGAGGGGCCCATTTATTCCACTCAGGTAACGCTACTATAGCGCCACAAACTGCCCATGCAACCACAGCCTAGTACAGGAAAACTGGTGCAAACATTACTTCACTTTTAAGGTGCTGCTAGACTCCTGTTTATTTTTGCTGCTGTTCTGATTTTCCATCCAACTCTGTGTTGACATGAACAGTCATGGCATGCAGTTCTTTTTAAAAAACAAATCTCTTCTTTCTTGGACTGGATGGGCCATTGGCCTGAATCCAACATTGGCTTCTCTTATGTTCTCATATGGAGCAGAAGGTGGACTCCATGGCATTATCCCCTCCCCTCCCCAAACCACGCCTTCCTCAGGCCCCACCCCCAAAATCTCCAGGTATTTCCCAACACGAGATCTGGCCGACCCTAAAGCACGCTGACGTCGGTATCTCAGCTTCCGAGTCTGACAAGACGGATTCCTGAAACTGGATGGGATTTCACGAGGAAAGGTTGAAGGTCAAAGAAGAAGGGGACGGCAAAGGATGAGATGGTTAGACAGTGTCATCGATGCAACGAACATGAGATTGAGCAAACTTCAGAGGACGGCAGAAAACAGGAGGGCCTGGCGAGATCTTGTCCATGGGGTCGCGAAGAGTCGGACTCGACTGTGCGACTGAACAACAACAACAACAAAAAGGGCTGTCCTGATGGTGCTCTGGGGCAGCCGAGTAGGGTTTGTACCTCACTCACCTTTGCCTGGGGGCTGATCCCATAGCTGGTGAAGGCGTACTGCCACTGCGGGAGCCCCAGATTGGTGATCAGGAGTCGGTAGTAAGCAGTGAAGGTTTTGGTCAGGAAATGCCAGTACAGGGCTCGGTCCAGGAACCAGATCTCAGAATCCGGGGCGACGACTGGAAGCAAGAGAGAGAGGTGAAGTCGTCCGCCCTGGGGCTGACAACCTCCAGGTGGGACCTGGAGACCTCCTGGAATCACAACCCGTCTCCCGACAACAGGGATCTCTCCCCCTGGAGAAAACAGCTGCTTGGAGGGTGGACTCGGTGGCATTATATTCTGGTGAGGTCTCTCCCCGCTCCAAACCTTCCCTGGCTCCACCCCCGGATCTCCAGGAATTCCTTAACCTAGAGTTGGCAACCCTATCATCCTCACATGCCAAGTACGGGACTTCAAGAACTCAGGAGCCAGACTGACCAAGGGCCCCACACTTTTGGTAAAGCACTTCGGTCTCACACAGTGGCCAGCCGGTTTCTTTGGAGGTGCAACAACAGGGCAGAGAGGCCGAGGCCTTCATAAGAACATCAGAAGAGCCCTGCTGGATCAGACCAGTGGGCCATCCAATCTAGTCCAGCATCCCATCTCACACAGTGGCCAGCCAGTTCCTCTGGAGGGCCAACAACAGGGCACAGAGGCTGAGGCCTTCATAAGAACATCAGAAAAACCCTGCTGCATCAGACCAGTGAGGGTCTATCTAGTCCGGTATCCTGCCTCACAGCAGTTCCTCTGGAGGGCCAACAGCAGGGCAGAGAGGCTGAGGCTTTCATAAAAACATAAGAACATAAGAAGAACCCTTCGGGATCAGACCAGTGGTCCATCTAGTCCAGCATCCTGTCTCACACAGGGGCTGACCAACAACAGGGCAGAGAGGCTGAGGCCTTCATAAGAACATAAAGAAGAACCCTTTGGGATAAGACCTATAGACCATCTAGTCCAGCATCCTGTCTCACATAGTGGCTGACCAATTCCTCTGGAGGGTCAACAACAGGGCAGAGAGGCTGAGGCCTTAATAAAAACATAAGAAGAGCCCTTCGGGGTCAGACCAGTGGCCCATCTAGTCCAATATCCTGTTTCACACACTGGCCAACCAGTTCCTCTGGAGGGCCAACAACAGGGCAGAGGCGCAGAGGCCTTCCCCTGAGAAGAACATCAGAAGAGACCTGCTGGATCGGACCAGTGAGGGTCCATCTAGTCCAGCATCCTGTCTCACACAGGGGCCAGCCAGTTCCTCTGGAGGTCCAACAACAGGGCAGAGAGGCCGAGGCCTTCCCCTGAGAACGACATCAGAAGAGCCCTGCTGGGTCAGATCAGGGAGGGTCCCTCTAGTCCAGCATCCCGTCTCAAACAGGGGCCAGCCAGTTCCTCTGGAGGGCCAACAACAGGGCAGAGGCGCTGAGGCCTTCCCGAGAAGAACATCAGAAGAGACCTGCTGGATCAGATCTATAGACCACCTAGTCCAGGATCCTGTCTCACACAGTGGTTGACCAGTTCCTCTGGAGGGCCAATAGACAGGGCATAGAGGCCGAGGCTTTCATAAGGACACCAGAAAAGCCGGGCTGGATCAGACCAGTGGTCCATCAAGTCCAGCATCCATGTCTCACTCAGTGGCCAACAGACACACTTGGAAGGTCTACAAAGAGGGGAAGGGTTAGACTGAAATGAGCAGCCGGCCTTTGGACCATACCAGGTTTGGTGTTCTTGTACACAAGGCAGACTTTTCCGTTCCCGCCACATGGGTCTAATTCGAAGATCAAACTACGGGAGTCCAAGTGAGGCTTCTCTGGCTGATCCTTGTTTCCTTTTTCTAGGGGAAAAAAAGGGGAGATTAAAACATTAGTCCAGAGTCCTGGGCATGATTTTTTAAATTCATAAACCATAGAAGGTTAGAGCTGGAAGGGACCTTGCAGGCCATCTAGTCCAACCCCCTGCACTCTGCAGGAGCATAGCCGAGAGAGAGTCCTACAACATACCTGAAAGACCGTCGTCCAGCCTCCTCTTTAGAACGTCCGGCGAAGGAGCATCCACCACCTCCCGAGGCAGTCTGTTCCACTGCTCAACCACTCTCACAGTTAGGAAGTTTCTCCTGATATTCAGCCGGTATCGACTCCCTTGTGATTTCCACCCATTAGATCTAGTCTTGCAATCCGGAGCAAGAGAGAATAGATCTGCTCCATCTTCTATATGACAGCCCTTCAAATACTTGAAGACTGCAGTCAGTCGTGTCCCCTCGAAACCTTCTCTTTCCCAGGCTAAACATCCCCAGCTCTTTCAGTCTTTCCTCATAAGACTTGGATTCCAACCATTTATGGTATTTATAGCCCACTGGCCTCCCGGGGACCCCTGGTGGACTACACAGAGTGAGTCAACAGAATCAACAGGACGGGACATTCAATCAACAGTGCAATAGGATTAGGGCTGTAGAACTAACCAGAAGACTAAGAAGACCATGGTGATCATACTGGTTTTAAAGGGATTGTTATAATGTGTCTTATTTGTTTTTGTCCCACAGTTCATTGCCACCGCTGTGCTGGTCATTGGCATCCTGGCCATCAATGACAAGAAGAATGCAGCGGCCCTTCCGGGCACCAACGCCTTCATCATTGGACTTCTGGTTACTGCGATCGGCATATCACTGGGCATGAACACCGGCTATGCCATCAACCCTTCCCGGGATCTGCCACCGAGGATCTTCACGGCTATAGCTGGCTGGGGCCTGGAAGTCTTCAGGTGAGTCCCATATAACTATGTTCTGTGTGCCTCAGTTTGGTGTAGCGGTTAGGAGAGCGGACTCTAAACTGGGAGAACCAGGGCTATTTTGGGGCAGGAACGCACAGGAACGGAGTTCCGGCTGGCTTCAGAGTTGGCCACACCCACTCCGGCCAAAATCTCTGTTTGCGTAGCTATAGATAGAGGGAAGGCCTGGAGAGTGACACACACACCCCACGCCTCCGAGGTGGGCGGGCCAAGGGGCCCCCTGGAAGGATCGGGGAAGCATTTAAATGCCTCCGCGTGCTTTCCCTGGCCTGTCCAAGGGCCAGCTTGCCTGGGCAAGCCAAGGGAAGGCATGGGGTGTGGCCTGATATGCTAATAAGCTGTGTTGTCAGGGGTGTGGCCTGATATGCTAATAGGTTTCTGCTGTTGGGTGTGGCCTATTATGCTAATGAGTTCCTGCTGGGCTTTTTCTACAAAAAGAGCCCTGGGGAGAACCAGGTTTGATTCCCCACTTCTCCACATGCAGCAGCCGCTGATGTGACCTTGGGCAAATGTCAAGGAAAAGGGGAAGGGGGACACTCAGCCCAAGATATGACTGTGATATATGAGGGTCAAGCTCACAAAATAAGTTATTATAAAAATACAAATATTTATTATGGTGTAAAAAAGGTAAAGGTCTCCCTTGCTTGAAAGCCAGTCGAATCCAACTCTAGGGCGCGGTGCTCATCTCCGTTTCCAAACCGTCCGAAGACTTCTCCGTGGTCATGTGGCCGGCATGACTAAGCACCGGGGCACATGGAGCGCTGTGACCTTCCCACCCAAGTGGTGCTTAGTTATCTACTTGCAATTTCTTGCTTTCGAACTGCTAGGTTGGCAGGAGCTGGGGGCCAGAGACGGGAGCTCACTCCGTCACGCGGCACTCAGGTCTCAAACTGCTGAACTACCGACCTACCAGTCTGCAGTTCAGTGTCTTAACCACTTGAGCCACCGCAGCCCCTTATTATTATGGTGTACATGTTAGTAAAAGATAAAAGAGGGTAAAAGAAATGATCCAGGTATCAGACTCTTAAAACTTTTTACATATACGTAAAACTAACAGCTATGTATGTAAAAAGTTTTAAGAGTCTGATATTTGGATCATTTCTTTTAACCTGTTTTATTTTTTACTAACGCGTACACCAGGGGTGTCAAACATGCAGCCCGGGGGCTGGATCAGGCCCCCGGTGGGCTTCTATCAGGCCCGCAGTGGAACTGGCTGTCTTCTACTTCTTCTTCCAGTTCCGCTGCTGCTGCGTCATTGCAGGTTTGCAGCTTACAGCACACTCAAGATTGCAACAGCACAGACATTTTGATGCAATAATTCAGAGCGAGAGGTGCCAGTTCTCAGACACTGTTAAATAAACAAAATATTGCAAGAGCGCTGATGCTTTAAGCATGTTTTTATTTTAAGTTTAAAAAAACCCTTTGTGTTTGTGTCCTTTATGAAGTTTATGTCTCTGCTACCTGGCATTACATTTTATGACACACATGGCCCCGGCCCAACAAAAGGTCTCATTTATGTCCGATCCGGCCCTCATAGCAAATGAGTTCAACACTCCTGGCGTACAGCATAATGAATATTTGTATTTTTATAATAGCTTATTTTGTTAGCTTGACCCTCATATATCACAGTGACCTTGGGCAAGCCACAGTTCTCAGCGAGGTACATATCCAACTCTTCCTCCTCCTCCTCCTCTTCCTCCGTCTCTGTCTCCCTCCTTCTTTTCTCCCAGAAATACCAGGATAGCAGTTGATGGGTTGACAGCAGTTAGATGGGTTGACGAGCAGGCAGTTTTCAGTCAGGGGTCCCCAGGGGTCGTTTCGTAGAAAAAGAGCTAGGGGAACTCATTAGCATAACTCATTAGCATATCACCGGAAGTGTGTCATAAGGCCCGGGGTGGACCTGCAAGGCCAGCGGGAGTGCGAGGAAGCCCCGCCAAGGCCCTCCCTGGCCCCAGGCAGGCAGGGGTGGGGAGAGGCGGGGAGGAAGCAACTTACCCCCCCTCTTCTCCTGCCTCCTCCTGGCTGAATGAGGGCCGGAAGCGGAGCGGCCGGAAGCAGGGGGCGGGGCTTCGTCATGTGCCCCACCTCCCCGCACCTCACTCGGGGGAATGGCGATCCCCGCGAATCCCCCTGAATTGACCTCTGGGGGTCCCCGATCTTTTGAGCCTGTGGGCCCCTTTGGAATTCTGATAAAGTGTGGTGGGCACAGCCACAAAATGGCTGCTGCAGAAGGCAGAGCCAGCCACAAAATGGGTGCCGCGGCCAGTTTGGTGGTTAAGTGCGCGGACTCTAATCTGGGAGAACCGGGTTTGATTCACCACTCCCCCACTTGCACCTGGCTGGATGACCTTGGGTAAGCCGCAGTTCTGATAAGAGCTGTCCTTGAAAAAGAGCAGTTTCTGTCAGAGCTCTCTCAGCCCCACCTGCCTCACAGGGTGTCTGTTGTGGGGAGGGGAAGGGAAAGGAGTTTGTCAGCTGCTCTGAGACCCTCCATCAGGTAGTGAAGGGCAGGGTGGCGGGGTATGAATCCAATCTCTTCTTCTTTTGCCTCACAGGGTGTCTGTTGTGGGGAGGGGAAGGGAAAGGAGTTTGTAAGCCGCTCTGAGACCCCCTTGGGTAGTGAAGGGCGGGGTATAAATCCAATCTCTTCTTCCTCTCTTCTTCTCCTCTAAGGGTGCCAGCTAGGGTTGCCAGCTATGGGTGGGGAAATACCTGTAGATTTGGGGGGTGGACCCTGGGGAGGGCGGGGTTTGGGGAGGGGAGGGACCTCAGCAGGGTATAATGCCACAGAGTCCACCCTCCAAAGCATCCATTTTCTCCAGGTGGACTGATCTTGGTCATTAGAGACCAATTGTAATAGCAGGAGATCTCCAGGTGCCACCTGGAGGTTGGCAAGCTATTGCCAATGCCAGGTTGGGGGGAAATACCTGGAGATTTGGGGGTGTGGAGCCTGAGGAAGGTGGGGTTTGGGGAGCGGCAGGACTCCCATAGGGTATAATGCTATGGAGTCTACCTTCAAAAGTGGTCGTTTTCTCCAGGTGAACTGATTTCTGTTGTCTGGAGATCAGTTCCCAGGAGATCTCTAGCTACCACCTGGAGGTTGGCAACGCTAGCCACAGCATACCTCCAGTCACATGGTGACTGATCCTTGTGCACCGGTGGCAGCTGCTGCCAAAGCAACAGTTTAA